AAGTCTGGACTTTAAGCATACCCACTACCCTCATCTGTGCACATTGCACCCGATAAATGATTTTTTTATCCCTCCACCACGTCTTCTTTCTGAGTCTCCAATGTCCATTACATCATTCTCTATGTCTTTGCAGATTCTTAGTTTAGCTGCCACTAAATAAGAACATGTGCTATTTGTTTTTCTGTTTCTGTGTTAGTTCACTTATGATGATGTTCTCCAATTCCATCCAAGTTGCTGTAAAAGACATTATTTCATTCTTTTTGATAGCTGGATAGTATTCAATAGTGTATATATACTACATTTTCATTATCCATTGATCAATTAATGGGAAATTTGATTGATTCCACGTCTTTGCAAGTGTGAACTATATTTTCACTACATTTGAAATATAAACTGATACAAGTATTTATGGAGCCAGCTCTCATGGTGTTTAAGACTTTACAAAGAAGACAGTCAGCAACCTAAGGAAAAAGAAATCATGAGGTGGCTCAAGGAGGGCCTGGTAGACAGTGTTGGAGAGTTTGGATTTTATCCTGAAAATAATGAGAAGCATTGAAGCATTTTAAACAGATAAAAATATCAAGAGTTTTTTTCTATATTATTCACTATAATGTGATGGACTGAATGAAAAAGGACAAAAGCAGAAGTGTGTACTCAGTTAGGAGGCCATTATAGTCGGCTATGGTTACATTGGTGGTGGTCAGAAATAGAAAGTGTAGGCAGAGGTAGGAAAATCAGCAATTTCTGAAAAGAAATGGTAGGTGAATAAGCATGGTGTCATAAGGTTGGGGGGATGTGAACTTATAAGTCAAATACCAACCAGAGATTCAGCAGGATGATGATTTACTGCCTACACCACAGAAGCTGTAATGAGGTTCGACCTTGCCATTATTCTTTTTCTCTGAAATAAGTAATGGCTTCTCAGAGACCCTAAGAATAGTGCCTGCACTCCCTATTGCTGCATCCAAGGGTCTGGTTCTCATCTCTTTTATATCTCTTTATGTGGCATATGCCAAGGACACACCTATTTGATTTGGTGAAATAAGCTGAGAAATTTTATAGGTTCTTGCTTTGAAAAATGCTCAGGCTGGGTGCAGTGGCTCATGTGTATAATCCCAGCACTTTAGGAAGTGGAAGCGAGAAGATTGCCTGAGCTTACATTTTCGAGACCAGCCTGGACAAGATGGTGAGACCTCAACTCTACAATAAATCAAAAAAATTAGTTGGGCATGGTGGTGTACACCTGCGGTTCCAGCTATTTGGAAGGCTGAGGTGGAAGGATTGCCTGAGTCCAACAAATCGAGGCTGTGGTGTACATAAGCAATGTGCCACTGCAATACAGCCTGGGCAACAAAGTGAGACTCCAACTCAAAAAAAACAAAAAAAAGAAAGAAAAATGCTCAGACTGGGCTTAATTCTCACTATCACTATTTTATTGTTCTAAGTCCTATCCTGATCACTGAGTCTCCCATGATGCTCCCTATGCTGTACCCATTTCTCCTTCCTGCTTGCATGTTCTAAGCACATTAACTGGACCTTGGTTTTACATGTAAATAGTCACTTCAATGTGACTATGCAAATTATAATGCTTTTCCTGTATTTTCCCTCAGTTATAAATGTCTTAAAATGTTACTTCAACTTTATCTTCTTTGGTCAATATTAATTGAACTTAAATAACTTATTTCCTTTTGTATATATTTCAACAAAATCTAGATTAATCACAAAAGTTTCCAAGAAAAATTTGATTTTAGCTTAATGCTCAACTATGTTGTGAACATGTGTGATAACCTTAAGATATCAAATGACAGTGCAAATTTATGAGTGCATAAAATTCTTTATTTAGAACAATAAAGTATATGTATATATAACGTAATTTCAAATTCAAACCTGTATAAAAAAGGGTCAGGACATATACCTATTTTAAAAAGTACACATACAGTATATACACATACACATCACATTTTACAACCTTTTTTATTTAATTAAACTTCAGTCATAATAAAACTATTTAGAATCATGTTGACATACATTTACATTACAATATGCAAACTCCAATTGATGACTGAACTAGGGTTATATCTGTGCATCCATCTAAATGAATACCTTTCAAGTCCATTGACTTAAACAATAGTGGCAAGTGGACACTAAAATCACACATTAATCCTTAGGAAATAGGAGAATAGGATCTTTTGGTTGGAAAATTATATTTAGTGACTCTTGTAGCTCTGAAATCAAGTATTTGAAAACACAGTGGTTTTTAGTTTAAACAATTATCTTAAATTTTATTGTTAAAAAAACATCGTAAGGATGTAATTGGAGATGGCAGTGAGAAATTTACAATGCTTAAAAAACATTGTAGGATCAAAAATATTCACTTTTGTATGGATTATTACTAAAACAACACCTTGTTATGAAATGAAAGTACCATTATTTTATCTCTACAAAGGCATTTCAAGATTAATTAATGGAAAATAACACCACCATGAATTGTTATTATCAAACTTCACAAATGAACCAATTAGAATTGCGATCTGAATAGCTACAGTTTAAAGCAAGTTTCAATATAAAATTGTTTCAAAGATAAGCTGGCTTACTTTAAAACTCTTATCCCACTTTCCAATTTTAAAAGGTAATTTATGAATTACCCCTTTATAAATTTATTCTAAAATATCTTTTGGCATTCAAACACTTTATGAACATTTTACATTTTCTGCCTTTAGCTTTCAATAAAATGAGATTTAAATGCTTAATTTGGTGCATTTCCAAATGTTACACACATATAGTATCTCATCCTGACTATAATGACTAAATTGTCTACGAGTTTTCATTCTCCAGAGGTGGTCCAAAACGTTTATTTGAGCAAAAGATAAAGCAATCTCTTTTGTAAATGGTTATCCAATTCACCCTACTTGAGACTGAATTTCACTTTTACTAATGGACCCTATTTACATTAGAAACAAGAACAGCAATGACTTTTTATGGTCAAGATGCTTATTCACAAAGACCAGAGTTGAATATTTAGTATGGGATAGTTTCAGCTCTATTTTATTTTGTCAGTCATATAGCATGAGACTCACTCCTAAGGAGTGACCATACAGATAAATAAATTGAGATCCAAAAAGGGGAGGTGATTTACCATATCTATTAATGACAGAGTAGAAGCTCCTGACAATCTTTTGCACCATCCATCGCATGATGCCAAAATGCCTTTTTGAATACATTTTTTAAAAAATTGATATGGAATGACTAAAAGCTCCATATTAGAATTAAATTTTGAAGCCAAAACTTGGCTACAGAAAAATATTTTTAAAAATCCATAGTTTCTGAATGGATTTTTTCTACTCATTTATGACTTCAGTTGAATATACCAAAATGTGCCACAAAGTTTCTCCAAAGTACTTTAATGCTCAGTGAAATGTATTTAATTCTTACTAAAAGCAAATACTTCATTATGAACTCATACATTTTCATAATTTTAATTTTTCACATACATAATCCTTTTTAAGAGGATAGATTACTTGTTCTTTTATCATATTAAAAAAATTGGTCTCTGACTCATTAAAAAGTGGCAGTGTGGTAAGGACATTAGATTATAACACAATATTCAGGAACACTTCAATATCACTTGACAGGCACCATTTATCACAGAGTCAGTTTCTTTATAGACTTTGTTTCTACAAAGTGGTGCAAAGCTTTCAGTATAATTTAGAATCTACAGACTTCTGAGACCATTTTAAAAGGCAATTTTGAATCATTACAAGAGAGAACTATCAGAGACATGGCACTGATTGAAAAGGTGATATCATAGTTTACTATCTCAGCTGTGTGTTTTCCATGATTTATGAAGAGGCTATTCAGAACACATCTGGGATAAAATATGCAAAGATATATACTTTATCTCAAAGCAAATATGACACAGCTAATGTCCTAGCAGCTAGCATCCAAAATAATGTTGAGCGTTTTTCTACTGTTTATGCACTTTATTGAACTTCAGTGTTTTAAAAATTGGTAATCTGCTGGGCTCGGTGGCTTAGCCTGTAATCTCGCACATTTGGGAGGCTGAGGTGAGTGGATTGCCTGAGCCCGCGGGTTCGAGACCCGCCTGGGCAGGCGAGACCTCATCTCTACAATAAATAAATCAAAAAATTAGCCAGGCATGGTAGCGCGCGCCTGTAGTTCCAGCTCCTTGGAAGGCTAAGGAGGAAGGATCGCCGGAGCCCAGCAGGTCGAGGCTGCAGTGGCCGGAAGCGGTCACTACACTCCAGTCTGGGCGACAGAGTGAGACTTCAACTCAAAAAAAAAAAAAAAAAATTGGTAATCCATGTAACTTTCAATGAACTAACACATTTGATAGGCAGGGCACATCTCTCCTCCCCTATCATGTCAGATTTCAGAACTTGCTGAATTTGTTTATTTAACTCCATTGACTAAGACCACGTCCTCAAGTGTTAAAACTCAGCTACTAGCTTTGAAAACAAAAGGACATTTATTGTACTCTCAGGTGCATTAAACAGCATGTTCATATGCCCAAACAAATTGACACCACTGGTTAAATAAATCAAGCCATTAGATCGTGAAGTATCGATCTTTCCAATCTATACACAGCCTACACGTATAACTCAAATGAATCTATGTCTATTTTCCTCACAACAATGAATGCCACACACTGAGACAAGACCTTTCAGCAATTAAACTGATCTCTGGTTTTATTACTAATTGATTGTACCATGAGGTATCCGAGGGCCTGAACATATTAATGCAGCTTCCCAAAGCACCTGGGTTGTATCCTAGGGAAATGACTGGTGTTAAAAGAAGCACAGCAGGTGAGAGAAGAAAGAACGTAGGAGTCACCTGGGCTCTTTGGTTAAAAAAAGAGCAAGGCCACTTACTGGGAATTGTACTTGGATTAGCTTTGAAAATAAGCTAAAATCCAACATTTATCATAAATTCTTGGAGTTTTGAAATGAAAGGAAAGCTAGCAGTTAATTTTTCATGCCCTTTGGTATTGCCACATTAAAAACGTACATCGCAATAATGTTATCACAAAGATTGCTAGAATGGAAAACTTTGCATTCCTTTATGTTCATGACATATTAAGAAAATCTTCATTGAAATGAAAAATAAGAAATTATTCTTTGACTTTAGTCAGATGTTCCTTTGACTTAAAAAAAATTGGCAAGGGATATTCACATAATGTCTTACAAGTTCTAGTTTAAAAGCACAGTGACCATCTTGGGGATTCCTGCCAAATTCACTCTTAATATGACAAATGCTGTCACACATTTTAAATAGCAAACTGACATGCATAACTACATAAAGCTTTCTTTTTATTTTTAATTCATAAACCTTAATGAATATAGAGTGCCTGATTTTAAATAAATGGATCCTTTAAACAGGTGATTATACTATAAATAACTAAAGTTTCCTGATTTCTTGCATTCTTGTAAAAGCCAAGTAACCTAGTTTTTAACACCCATCTTAGCATGTGGGTGTGGTTTTCTAACCTTAGATACTAAATATCATAATTTATATTTATTCTCTCCATGATGGAAATTGAAAATGGGACCAACTTACATTCAGCATTTTCTCCTAAGTCCCTTTACATAGTTCTGTAATAGTTTTAGAATATAAACATGTTATAATATATTTTGCAAACACGATTTATACACCCTAGAGGGGTCAAGGAAAAAGGCGGACTTTCCCAGGGGTGCCAAATGTCTTCCTCAGCAGACTGTTCTGCAGTTCAGTGTTCATAGCTTCTTCCTGCACTGACTCGTTTGGAAAGTCTCCTCTCTGCCAAATGTAACTCAGTACTGGCTCCCCTCCATGGATAAAACCAGGCAACCATGTCCATTTGTCTAGTGGGATATGGGTGAGCATGGTTTAAGTCAGAAAGAGATCAAGATCAGACCCATATCACGAACCAACAATTACAAAGGTGACATGTTGCCCACTCCAGTCACATAGTTCCCACTGCTTTCTACGCCGCACAGTGGTTGATGCTACTGAGTTTGTTTTTTTTTTAATTAGATCCCTTTGAGAAAAATTATTACCCCCACTATCCAACCTGAAATCTACTTGCAGAGACCAGGATAAATACAGGCTGCAGATTGTATCTGAAGAATAAAGCTAGGTGGTTTTTCAGCATTTAGACGTCTCTGGAGCCATGCAAATGGTGCGTGCAGTCTAAGACACGTGCTTTCTCTTCCAATATCAACTGCAAGTTCTAAATGAGACCTCAAGTCCCCCAGGTCCCTAAAATAGAGTCCTGCTCCATGCAAGTTCTTCTTTATAGATGATTAATTCAGTGCCAGTTTCACAGTAAAACACTCTGTTCCAATTTCTGAATCATCCATATAAAGTCATGGGTAGCAAGAACAGATAAAGAGGCGGTCTGTCACTCCAGACAGAATATGAATTTGTTTAAAGCTACTTCATTTATGAAGCAAACATGAACTGTTACCAGCCTAGAAAGGAAAGAAAAGAGAGATTATGATGTGTCTGCTTTCTGCCTTTTATTTCATTCTCAATAGCTGAAACCATCTATGACCACAGAATGAGTGATAGATTTACAATGTATACTTCACTTACATAGCTTAAAAGAACTGGATAAATGTTTTCTTATATGCAGTGATCAGTCATTTTCTGTGATATCCCTGGTAACACAACAATATCTGAAATAATCCTACTTATTGTTTATTGTCTATCTCCGCCCATTAAAAGATAAGCTTCACAAGGGCAGGGAGCTTGCCTATCTTTATTTCTGTCCCGTCACTCTTATAACAGTGCCTGGCACATAGTAAATGCTCAGTAAATATTCTTTGAACACAAGAATGCATAAATGTGGCTTTCATTTCCCCCAGACATTCCACCAATGATCTGCTTATGATAAGAAAGTTATCAAACTATTTAGCCTTGGATTTCTCTAGCAAGACTATGAAAGGTAGTAGACAGTAGTAAGGAGAGAAAGGTTGGAGAACAAGGCCATGTCTAAAGAGTGGAGAAATGGAGACAGATGGAGTAGCATGAAAAGAGGAACCCGAGACAAATGGAGAAGCTGGTCAGAGGCCACCAACAAGAAAGTATCACAAGGCTGCAGAACAGTTCCAGTATCCTGACTGTCTAGGTAGGTTCTAACAAACTCTTTTTCCACCTGAGGAAAACAGCAGCAGCACAATTTCATTCAATACTTCCAGCCAAGAAAAGACAGACAAATCCTGGCACTGCATCCTGACAAAGCCTCTGGGAAGGTTCATTTGGCCTCAGCACAGCGTATTATTGTACTTGTTGAAGCATGAGTGCTACACTGTGTTTAAGTTCTTCAGTAGTGGTGTGAAACCACAGAACTTTTAGATGCTTCGACTTTCCACTTTTTTTTTTGAATCCCAGATAGTATCATCACTCTATCTTCGTCACAGACCCCAAATAAGTGTCTGTTTTGCATTTCTCTTCTTCCCTGCTGCCTCTCTTCCCCTACTTTAGTCCTTGTTTATCAATCTCAGAATCACAAATCACTAGTGTAAAGGTGTTGAGATCATCACACAGATTATCTACAGAATTCTATAGTGTGAGTAATAAGAATTGCAGTATTTTTTCCAGTATCTCTAAACGTAATATATTAAAAACTGTCTTATGTAACAATTTATCAAACAAAGAACTCTTGGAACTAGAGAACTTGTATTTAGGAAATCAGAATTAAATATAGAAAGAAAAATTAAGAGACATTAACAGAAAACTTCAGAAATCCAAAATATATAGAATGTATTTTAAAAATAAAGCATAGTTAGAAAAGCAAAAGGGAATTTTTAAAAAAAACCAAAAGAATATTGTTTTTGAAAAAGCTATAGCTGCAATTCTAAGCTTAATGTAGAGAATCAAAGGTAGAGAAACAAGATTGAAAATTTATTTTTTATTTTGTCCCTCAGTCACTTAGCAAAGATAATGAACTTGAAGACTGACAACTGTTTTCCCCACAAAACTACCATTTTAAATAACGATATTCCAGATTCTTGCAACAACCTCATGAAGTAAGAAGAGAATTATTATATCTCATTAGATATAAAAAACCAGGGGTTGAAGACATGAAGCTGACTCATCCAGGATTCTACAGCTAGTTAAGAAACAGAGCCAAGGCTGGAACCCAAGGCTAAGCTCTGATCTGCTTTACAAACCGTCTACAGAAAGAAAGCTCAGAAACAGAACTCTAAAAGCTCCTGAAATTCTTGGAAAACCACTGGTAAAGAATCATAAATCTTCCCATTTAGTTACCAATCCTTCTCAAACCCTGTGGCCTGAATTTTCAAGCCTGCCTTGAGCTTGTCCTTACTCCAATTCTAAGATCTATTTTCTTCTCTGTTAACTCAAATATACAGGAAACTTCCAGTTTGTGTTTCCTTAATGAGTCTCTCCACAAGCCTAATTATAATGAGTGTTACTTTCTACATTCACCATGCTGGGGTAAGTCAATAAACCACTAACTGAGTGTCTACAAACCCATACTATTTCCTACTGACCAGATTGGGCCTTCTCTGTGACTAAGCAGTCTTTTAAGATCTCACTTAAGATTCTTCGTAGATGACTGAAATTTCAAATCTATTATTTCCAGCCCTGACTGTTTTCTGAAGTTCCAATCTAACATAATTGGCCACTCGTCAGTTCCAGCAACACTTACCAACAGACCCTTCTCCTGATGTTCCATTTTCGTTCAATGACACCACCATCTGGGAAGTCCCACAGTCTTCAAATCATTCTTGAGTCCTGCCCACCATATCGAGCCTCATATCCCATCATAACTAGGATTTGTTGATTATTTTATTGCAGTGTCTCCAAAATGGTCTATGCTTTCTTATTTCCTGATCCTAACTTTGGTTCAGCTGTTATTCCCTCATATCCTATTGGAAGATTGACCTCCCAAGGGACTCCCTTCCTTTAGCTCATGGCTCCTATCCCTCTGGCCACAGCAACCCATGTTTACTTTCCCTAAACCTCTGTTTCCATTCTATCAACCACATCTTTCCCAACCACCCCCTGGCCCCCACCACCTCCCAATAGCTCGTTATATAACCTAATGAGGTTTAAGCCCTGTTCCTGGAATCCAAACCCTTTTTCAAACTGATACCACCCTTTCTTCTCCACATTTTAACCCTTATGTGTGACTTCCACTGGAGTCCAACTCTTCATCCTGACCCTTGAACAGAGTTTGGGCCTTCTTGACTGAGTTTAAGCCATCTGCAGTAAAGAGCCAGCTCAGTACAAATGCCACCTTCATCACTTACAAAGAGAAGCCTTTCTCTTATTGCTAGTGATTTCTCTCACTTCAAATAAGGCAACTGTATGTGGGCATGCCTGATTCTAAGAGACACCATTCACAACTTCCACACTATTATCTTGAGCTATGTTGAGTCTTGTATAACCATTTGCAGTGGCTCTGACTTTGATCTTTTACTGCACCTTCTCTGTAAACTCCTTTTTGTTGCTTTTTAAATTTTGTATGCTTTTAGTTGATTGTTTAATATTGGTTATTAGGCCTATGCCTTATTTCCTTTTATAGGCCATAAGCAATTTGAGGACACAATTAGGATATATATATATATATATATATATATATATACTTTTTTTTTTTTTAATTTTACTATGTTGACCAACCTTGTCTTGAATTCTTAGCCTCAAGCCATCCTCCTGCCTCAGCTTCCCCAAATTGCTGGGATTACAGGTGTGAACCACTGTGCCTGGCCACAGCTAAATTATTTTAAGCTTTGTATCCACCAATGAACCCACTAGAATTTGCTGGAATCATATTTGTAGGAAGAATAGAGTAAAATTTTCCCATAGTACACTAACATAGATAAAGCTTTTCATGTAATTTATCTCCATTTTATTTATTTTCTTAATCTTTGCTATATACAACTCAATACATGAAAAATTCTTGTAGGTGGTCGCATATGGATACTTGGCATCAGCTAAGTGATTAAGTAGATTTTTAACTTTTCACATAGCTGTTCTCATGTGTGAATGTGTGATGTCAAATAAACACAACTTCAGTATGGCATTTTCTTTTCTTTTCTTTTTTGAGTTGGAGTCTCACTCTGTTGCCCAGACCGGAGTGCAGTGGCCGCTCCCGGCCACCGCAGCCTCGACCTGCTGGGCTCCGGCGACCCTTCCAAGTAGCCGGAATTACAGGCGCGCGCTACCACACCCGGCTGATTTTTTGATTTATTGTAGAGATGAGGTCTCGCTGCCCAGGTGGGTCTCGAACCCGTAGGCTCAGGCAATCCACTCACCTCAGCCTCCCAAAGGCGCGGGATTACAGGCTGAGCCACCGAGCCCCGCTGGCATTTTCTTTTTTGAGTCGGAGTCTTACTCTGTCACCCAGGCTGGAGTGCAGTGGCACCTTCATGGAGACAGCAGTCTAGACCTCCTGGACCCAGGGATCCTTCCACCCCAGCCTTCCAAGTAGTGGAACCACAGGTGGGCACCACAATGCCTGGTTAATTTTTTTATTTATTGTAGAGACAAGGTCCCGCCAAGTTGGTCTCAAATCCCTCGACTCTGGCAATCCTCTTGCCTCTGCCTCCCAAAGTGTGGGAATGAAAGGCATGAGCTACTGTGCCTTTTTTGTTTTTGTTTTTTTAAGGTGCAACTTTTACATTTCTTTCACATTCTTTCCCTGTATTTAAACTATGAAACCTTCCTTACTTCTCTTCACTGCCCAAATGTAGGCTAGTTCCTTCAGAGAACTAACCGTTCCATGTTCTCTATCTTGGTGGTCCAATATTTGTCTTGATTTAATTTGTTTTCATTGGTGAAACTTCCATTTCAGGGAGAAATCCTTGCCATAAGCCTGAGTCATTCCCTGTGTTTCCCCCTTCCTTGCTAACCAAGAAAATGATTATAATCCAAATTATATCTATTTTTAAAATGTATAACTACAACTTCATATTTCATTTTTATCTTGGTACTTTTTACTACAGTTATTCTTATTTTTTCAAAGATTTTTCTCTTCCACCACATCATGGTTTGTTCTCCCAAGACTTTCCCTCTACTATACACATCCCTGAGAACTAGACTTAGAGTTCCCTGGCGGGTTTTGAATCTCTATTTGTTCAGGGTCAAGCATAAGGCTTTACTCTAGATAATAGGTAATCAATAAACAATTACAGATGATATATACACATTTTGATTTTGGGATTTGCAGATTTGTGGTGATGGGCTAACTGTTTCCCCTTCTTTTCCTATTTTTTTCCCTTATCATTTAAATATTATTTTCTTTTTAAGTCAGGGCCTTATTCTGTTGCTAAAGCTGGAGTGCAGTGGCTGGAGTTCAAGGGCTCACTGCAGCCTCCACCTCCTGTGCTTAAGTGATCCTCCTGCATTCACCCCCAAAATGTGTGCCACCATACCTGGCAAATTTTTTAATATTTATTTTTTGAGTCAGGGTCTCATTCTGTCACCCAGGCTGGAGTACAGTGGCATGATCATGGCCCATTGCAGCCTCAGTTTCTTGGGCTCAAGCAATCCTTCCATCTCAGCTTCCCGAGTAGCTTGGACTACAGGTGCAGGCCACCATGTCCAGCTAATGTTTTGATTTTTTGTAGTAATGAGGTCTTGCTATGTTTGCTAGGATGGTCTCGAACTTCTGGGCTCAAGTAATCCTCCATCTTGGCTTCCCAAAGGGCTGAGATTATAGGTGTTTGCCACCGCACCCAGTCTTTTTTTTTTATTTATTGTAGTGATGAGTTCTCACTATGTTTCCCAGGCTGATCTTGAACTCCTGGGCTAAAACAGTCATCCTGCTTCTGCCTCCCAAAGTGCTAAGATTACAGGTGTGAGCCACAATGTCCAGCTAAATTCTTATTTATTCATACATATATGTAGGGTTTTGTCTCTATAAATTTTATTTTCACATTACTACAATTCTTTAAGATATTCATTTATCTCTCCATTCATTTATTCAACAAATATTTATTCATTACTTATATGTACAAAGTATAAGTCATATAGTTTGGTGGGGTTCTGAAATTAAATTCAGAAACAAATCCTGTCCACTAAGAGCTTATGGTTTTGAAAATGTAGCAAAATGTTTATTTAAGTAACTGTGATGTCCTATCAAGGGTCATATGAAATGTAATTAGAGAATCATAAGTAGAGATTATTTTTTCATTTGGGAAGTCAGCTTTTTGAAGGTGGCAATACTGAGCTGAGTCTTGAGAAGGCTTTGCAGAGATAATGAGTAAGATGCTCTATAAAGGATAACTAGTCACTTCTTCATTCAGTCCGCCATCCATTCATATTGACAACTCAGGAAGTATAGTAAGTTGTTTTATTTTTTTTTCCTGAACAATTCTGGGTTTCTTAAACTTGATAAATGTGATTCATTTTATACATGAGTAATATTTCACAGGTTAAGAAAAATAAGTGAATAGATTTCCCATATGAGTATATTTCCCCTTGGCAGGCACATCTTGCTGTCCCATTGATCCAAAACAGCAAATTAAACACAAACATACAAGATAAAAATAAACTCTACTTCAAATGAGTCATCTTCTTTGCCATAAATGGATGTGAAACATCCACTGAGAGCTCATTCATTGACTCAGTCTTTCATTCAACCAACATACGTGTATCCAAAGCCTACAACGCACAGGCAAAAAGGTGCTGGGGATACATCAAGAACCAGACAGATCTATCTCCTGCCCTTGAATGTTATCTGACTAGATATATGTCTAAGTTGTTTAACTATGGTTGCTTTAAAATGCCACCTTCTTCTTCCTATATAAGTGGCTGGGTTTTCCCTCTCTTAATCCACTCTTCAAATGTCACATGATAAATGCCACATGATTAAAGAGACCAATACCCAAACCAGTGCAATCTAAAACCAACCAATGGAGGACATTACTTGAGCATTGAAGGCTCAATTAACTAATGTGTGGTTTGTGGATGCCTGCCTTAAGGAAACTGAAATGACTGTTAAAAAAAAAAAAGTGAAGTTTGTCTTGGGGTTGAAAGGCAGAGATATGAGTTTCTAGGAGCAACAGTGATTTCAGCTTGGAGAATATTTCTTGGGGAATATAAAAAGGGTGGAGTGAAGAGTCTATCCATTTATATTAATAGAAAGGAAGAATGAGCCTAAAGAGAAGTTGGGATGGGGGATGGAAAAAAGAGGGTGCTATTCATGCTTTGGACAAAAAAGTTCAAGGACAAGATTAAAGGCAAAAGTGAAGAAATCTGTGGAATAACAAGGTTAAAGTATTAGACAAATATGCCACACAGTTGTTATTATATCATTTTATGCTGGGTTGTTGAAAAATGATGTTCTATGACTACAAAAGTGAGCTCCTAGGAGAGGCAAAACACTCTGTGACCCAGCTCCCCAGAGGAAGAGTCAGTCTGGAGAGAAATCTCTGAATTTGGGGCAGGAGTGAAAGTTGGAAGGACAGTGACCTGTAAGGAAAAGGAAAAACTCAGACCACATTCGCCATAAGCAAGGAGACCAAATAATTCCCCGACAATGAGAGAATGCACAGAAGAACTGAGACATTAGGAAAAGGAGGGAACTTTCATGCACCACTGTGGTAGATGTACCCAGGATTCCACGAGTGAAATCAAAATTTATAGCCAGTTAGCAGAAGCAAAAGGAAGGGAGAGCAAGATCAGTGCTGGATCAAGGTAATGCCACCCTAGGTGTTCCCTCAACGGCGTCTGCAGCAGAGAAAGTAGACAGGATGGCAATAACAAACACCAATAGCTTCTAGCCATGTCTACTCCCCTTCCCACAATCCCACCACAGACTCTCGTAATCACAGCACATATACTCAATGCGTCCTGGGCTCTGGACTGTAAGGAGGCATAATTATTAACAGTCATTTGACAGGTGGCACTTGATCTTGACAATTCTAGTTTCCTGGTTGTTAAATATTTTGACCCTTTCTTCTTTTCCTTAAAATAACATGGAAATAGTTTTTAATTTTTTACTTGTTTCAGTATCTAACACATGGGACACTGTCATGTTATGGTAGTCACATCTAAGTAAAATTTATTTTAGTCCTAATGTGCTCTGTTCCTGTAGTCCATTTTATTTTCTGGCTTCAAAAGTCATCATCCAACTGTTGATTTTTTTGTATATTTCCCATACTCAATGAATCTACTAATCAGGACCTACACTGCTTTCCTTTCAAAACTTGAGAAGACACAATGAATTTGTTATGCACAATTCAATTGTGAAGCAATTTCAGTTAACACACTGACATGTGCTTGATAGAAGACTTATCAATGAAGTCTGTTTCTAAATTTGCCACCTAAGATGCCCTATAGTTTTTGATAAATATTTCAACTTGAATTCTAAAAACTTACCAATGTACGAAAGTAACAGTGTTGATACAAGTCACAATTATACTTCTTGAAACTCTCTCTCTTTTTCTTGCAACATACTGAAAAACAAGAAAAATGCTTATTTGCATTTAGACAGAGATTCTGAAGCACACCATGATCTGGGCATTGTGAAAGGCAGTTTTTCTGTGAATACAGTAGCAGAAGATAGCAAAACTGAGTGAGAGGCTTATGGTTTTGAGTATTATTTTAGGGAAGACTTTATGTGTCTCAACGTAGTCTTCCCAAGTAGTTTAAGAAATTCTCCCTCTCTCTATGCATATACACATACTACATATGCTTATATGCATTTCATTTGTGCTTATGGATACATACAAGCATGCTATGAGGGAAAGAAATATACCAAATAAAAATTATAGCCAGTTATAAATTAAAGTATTAGTTCTGGAACAATATGGGGTAAGGTAAAAGCGTCATGAGGGTAAGAGCAAATTAAAAGGCATCTTACAACAATTTAGGTATTTTACTTTGGAGAAAACAATGACTATGTTGAATAAGTCAAGAACTCTGAAAGTCAGAGTGATATGAAAAATGTTAAATACACAAGAGAAAAATCACTGAATAAACCTGAATAAGAAGTGACACCATGAGCCTGGGTTTGAGGTAGGATGTGACAAAGGTTGAGTTTAGAGAGGCTAAAGAGAAAAATTGTGGTAGCAATTCAGGAAATCATAAAAATATAAAGGACAATTATGACTATTACCAAAAGAGTAAGCTTGGGAAAAGACTCTGAGAAATGAATCAAAATGTTTTTGCAAAAGTGTGGAAAACAAAGAACGTAAGCAAATGTATCTCTGGAGCTCTCTGACCAGGAGTCAAAGCAGGATTCTATTGCTTATTAGAATAAGAAAGCAGGGGTGACCTTTTCTGCTACCCTAAGAAGGGTCATGGACACAATTATGTGAAGGTTTTCTACAGAAAAATAGAGATAAAGGATGGAAGGGAGGTCAGAAACAAGGATAGAGAGCTGGGACTCAATGGTTGGGAATGGAGGTCATGAATGAACAGCTTCTGAAAGACAAGATGAGCATGTGCACAGTATGCAAAATGGCAATGTCACTCTTACTCACGCACCCATTTAGCAAAGCAAAATACCTTATTTCATTATCCTCTTCATTAATCTGTATATTTTCAACTGTCCTTGTAAGATTTGGTTGTTTCTTCTGGAAAAAACCAATGAAATATGTTGGAAAAATGTCAGTGAATTGGTATGCTAATTAAGAGGTAAGTAGTTTTCATTTTTATCTTTTATGTCAATAACTCCAATAAGTCTTTTCAGCATGTAGCATGCAAAATATTTTTGCAATAAAAAATAAAACTGTGTGGAATTTTTGACTCATCATTTTTAGGATGTTGGAGGTTAAACAGTAATAAAGAAACTGACAGATTTAAATAGTAATCAAATTCAAAAGCATTTCAAAAAGCTGAGTCACAATGATTCAGCACATTTAAAAATTTTAGACAGGCTTTAATAAGAAGAGAACTAAAGGAAGAGAAATTTTAAAAAATAGCACAGGATACAAATAGCATTTCTATTTGGCTTTTAAGCACATCATATGGTTTTTAACCAACTTTCTTTCAGTTCAGGCCATTAAAACCAGTTCCCAATAAGTGTTGATTGTTAGTTAGAGAGATTTTCTCTAGACAGAATGCAAAAAGGAGGAAATCTTTCTAAAATGTAAATTTTGTTGAAACTCTAAGTTAAGGTAGCACTCATTGTTTTCTTAATAAGATTCTCAGAAAACGAAAATTTGTTAATTATTTATGTAAATATGATATGAACAAGTAAATATGTAAAGTTGAGTGATCAAGAAAAAAGAAAAGAGCCAGGCTCGGTGGCTCAGCCTGTAATCCCGCGCCTTTGGGAGGCTGAGGTGAGTGGATTGCCTGAGCCCGTGGGTTTGAGACCCGCCTGGGCAGCGAGACCTCATCTCTACAATAAATCGAAAAATCAGCCGGGCGTGGTAGCGCATGCCTGTAATTCCGGCTACTTGGAAGGCTGAGGCAGAAGGATCGCCGGAGCCCAGTAGGTCGAGGCTCCGGTGGCCAGGAGCGGCCACTGCACTCCAGTCTGGGCGACAGAGTGAGACTCCAACTCAAAAAAAAAGAAAAAAGAAAAGAATAACACTTACCTTCCAGTACAAAGCTCCAAAAGCAAAGCCAATTACAAGAGAAAAGAATGCTGGCAACGCCATGGCTGCCCATTGTAGGCTGGAGTCTTCAGTGGAATTTTCAGCTTTCCCTATAATTTAAAGAACACAATGGTGAATACAGCATCCATCCTAGAGGTTTTGCTCTTATGCTGTGGTTATCCTTAATTGTTTCCACAATACATTCTCAACCTATATCTGTTTAAAGTATTCAAAAGGCTGATTTTCCTGCTGAGTATTGTTTTGAACTTTGCAGCAACTTGGATTGGTTTAGAGTCTATCATACTCTGTGATCTATCACAGAAACAAAGAACTGACTATCACATATTCTCACTCATAAGCAGAGCCTGAACATTTACCATAATACTATTAAGAATGGGGTTTGACAGTAGCCGGAAACAGGCCAGGGGAGGTGGGGGGCACATAAAAGCAATAAGGGTATGTGACCTCAAACCAGGTGAAGTGGGGACAAAAGGGAGGTCCAGACTTTATCTGTACAATGACCACTTGTATACCTAATCCTGAATTGTACCTCATATCTTTAAAATAAAAAACAAAAACAATATATGTCCATGAAATCTCCAAAAGATGAGTGCATCAAAAAAAGAAAGAAACCCCAGAGATAGAGATTTGACTTGGTTAATGTTGATGCATGTGGAAAAGAGACTTGATGTATTCCTGGGGGTGGGAGGGTGGGAATAATTTATACTATCAAGCAAATCTATCTCCTGTGCCTTTATCTTTTAATGTCTTTTCACTTTATCGCTCTTGACAGCTTGCCCAGAAATTTTAGAAATGACATTTTGCAACCTGGATTAGGGTCTGTATGCATTCAGCTATGTCTGGCCTGCTGCAAATACTTAATATTTATATGTGCACTGTGGGTATAGTATTTCTAGGAATCCCATGCTTAGAAACATGGCTGTTTCTTTATTCGAATCTTCAATACATACTAATTGGATGTCACTGTGCCAGGCACGAAGGTACTAAGGGTGTGATTTTTCAGATTTTTTATGTTGGAAAGCTAGAGCCTAACACAAAAGAATTGTTGAAAGCCCCAGTGCTGCCCCATATTGATAAATTCTAAATAAGTAACTAAGTGAGATAGAAGATATGGGATTGGCTTTGGACACCTTCCTTGAATTTGTCTTACTCTTTCACAAGAAGCAGAATGACAAGCTCAACAAAACACATCTCCTGCAAGCCATCTCTTCCTCCTAAGGGGAAACTCATTTTGACAGATTTTTCTATATGTCTTCTTACAAAGAACAACTTAGTCGTTGTATATCTATTACTTAGCAAGTAGATACTTAACCTACTTAACCTATAAAGTACCTAAAATATATAATACAAAAGAAATAATTTATTGTGTATCAGCATTTAACAGAGAAAAAATAAATTCATGGATTTAACTTGAGAAGTAACAAACAGATTTTATCTACTTTGGGGAAAACAAGAATTGCCCATTCTCCCACCATATGTGAACTGGGAGCAGGAAATTCTCTAATTCTGATTCCTATAATGCCTACGTTTTCAAAGAGACTGTAATGATAGGATGTTAGCATGTATGCTCACATGCATGTGTGTGTGTTGGTGAGAGCGGAGACTGAGGGAGGGGTAAAGTGTATAGTTCAGGCAGTTCTCAGGTAGGGAATTGTGGGAAGTGGGATTGTCTACTCATATAAACATGAAGTGCCTCTGTAAAATGAGACTAACAGTTCTTCTGGCCCACCCCACATCTTGTAGTCCACGTGAGATATGTTTCACACATTTCAAATTGAAACCCAATATGAATTTTCTCACCAGAATAAATCTGAGTTACAAGATAGGACTTGCTATAACTAAAGCAGTATTATTATGACAATAACATGATTATTTTAAGGACTATATCACATTATGTGGGCTAGTCTGGGATTTAACCACCTTCTATAAAAGTATTTTCTCTAAGAAATGAATTCATAGTTATAAGTAATTCCTATCATTTTAGGGATTTTAATATTACCATCTGTAAATAAATAATTTGGGGGCATGGTTGCACATGCCTGTAATCCCAGCTACTTGGGAAGCTGAGGTGGGAGAATTGTTTGAGCCCAGGAGTTGAAGACCAATATGGGCAATACAGTGAGACCACATCACAAAGCAAAATAAGAAATAATTTGGCTATCTGTGGTTTTCCTTGACGGTCAACTTGTGGTGGCTCCCACTGTCTACTGGGATTACTGGCGTGTAATGATGATAGATTTGACTAGAAGATCTCCTTGAGGGGCCCTAGCCAATGTATTCAGAGAGGACAAAGAAAGCAAGTAATATTTTGTCTCCAAAACCCAATGGAAAATTCTGATGAGCCAGGGTGGTACTATGGAGACATCCGTTCTGTATGTGTGGTCGGGCAGATGCCCTGAAATCAAGGCAGCCAAACATCCTGTTCTTCCTGATCTATCCAAAGACCAAATCCGCATCTTGGATTTCACCACTCAGACCAGAGAAAAGAGTATACTCACTAGCCAAGGTAGGAAAAGCTTACTAAAGATGTTCTAGAACTTGCTACTCAATACCTCTCTCAGGCAGGAGGACAGCACCTAAGAAAGGGGCTTCAAACAAAACTGTGTGGGAGGCCTCATTAAGGAAAGCTTGCACTTGCTCTGAGCACTGTGACTTCATAGCCACGTTGACAGTTCCACTCCCAGGACTATGAGCCAAAGAAAATCCTGGAATCTGACTATGGGGGAAGGGGGGGTCATAAAAAAAGCCCCGGAAATTTCATATTTATCCTTACATGTTTAAAAACTTCAGTCACCTTCAAAGTACTTTGTGTTTGATGCAACACACCTATCAAGATGCTTTTTCCACTGCTCAAAACAGTTTTTGAACTTGTCAGTTTTGTTGCTTTTTAGCGCTTCTCCCATTTTTTTGTTTCACCTCTTCCATATCAGCCAAATGTTTTTCTTGAAGGACTTTTTACACCCGAGTAAACAAAAATAAGTCGCTCAGGGCAAGATTGGGTGAATTAGGAAGGGTGGGGTACAGGGGGTCATGCCATTTTTGGTCAGAAACTGTGGAACACGCAGTGCAGCGTGCAGGCAGGTGCTCTTGAAAATCACCAATCATGAAATGGGCAAACATGTTGAAAGAATCTCCAGAAATTTTCACTGAAGCGGAACACAGCCTCTCACAACAATGCCAGCTGGTACACAGATGCGGATGGGTTCCTAGAACACTCACCTAGCACGGGATGCCTGTACTACAAGGGTCCTGCCCTCCAAAAGATAATTTCATTTTTGGGGAGTCCCTCCTCTTAAGACATAGCAGCAATTATCCTGTAAGAAGAGGAGGGAGAGGAACAACACAGGTAGGGAGGAGAAAAGACCCACAGGTGATTGAGCTTCACCTCCTGTAGAGGTCAATGCTGCCTCCATTTTGTTATTTACTTATTCATGCATAGAGCTAAAGAACCAGGCCTTGGGTTCATCAGGATAGTATTATTCCTCTTGCAGGGGGAGAGAAACAACTTTATCAGAAGAGACTTGCTTACATCCCTAGGGGAGGACTTCCAGTATTTGCCATTGTAACTATCCCCAAGAAGTCCATGAGATTTCAACTGTATGCCTCAAACTTCCAAGGAAGAGTATTAGGGGCCAAAGCCCAAGCTGATAACAAAGATTTGGTTTTATGCAAAGACTATCTGCAGAGACCTGGTGGGGAGAGGGAGCTCATCTGGATGGGATATGAATAATACTAAATCCTGGGTTATGACCATTTTAATCATATCTCATGATTACTAAAACAGTCCACTGTCCCAAAACCTTAGGAGCTGACTTGTTTGGTTCCACTTACAATAACCAACACCTATGGAAATATAGAACACAAAAAACGGTGCTACCATTTTGCTAAACTTTTTAGAGTGAGCCTGTTTAGAGGCACCATGCCTGTGAACATGGATCTCTTGGCATTTAGGAAACAGACAAATGGGCATCCTTCCTTGATTCACATCCAGAGTTCTCTACAGGATCACCATATACTGATCCATGGTCTTTATGGCATCTAATTAATTGTTCTAACAATTAATGGCAAGCTCTTACTAGACATCAAGTATGGCTCCAAGCAAAAGTGTATTAACTCACTTAAAACTCACAGAAACCTTGTGAAGGAGATATTAGCATCCTCCACTTGGTTGAAAAGTCAAGAGAGTTCGACTTGCCTGGGTATGAGTCCAGGCAGGCTGAGTCAAGACTATTTCTGGAAGATGTATAAGGCAATGTCAAAGGCAGCATTTTTTTTTTATATCATTCAAGTACTATCTGTAAGAATCTCAAACTGAAACATCTTTTAGCTTGTCATAAAGAGCTATCACTATTCCTTTGTAAATATAACTCCCTTTGGATAACTCATAGGTGTGTATATTATCTCATGATTCTTCCTTACCCACTCTCATCTCTGAAATACATCTTCATACATTCTATTCCTCTGACTGACATGGCCAGCTTTTAAGTCTTATTCTTGAAAACAAGCATGCATTCTTCAAATTTCCCTGACCCTTCTCCAAAAATCAGTTCTACCTCATTTATGTTACAACTGAAAAAATGTACATAATTCTCTGATATGTGTTATATGCTGTACTATGAGTATTTTATTTACATCTGTTTTTCTTAGAATATGAGCACCTCAAAAGCTTGTCATGTGCATAGATATCTAAGTGGCATATTCATGAGGGACACCACCTAGTCAAAAGTTGCAGACCATGCAAGACTCAACTTTAAAAAAAAAAAGAAAAAAAGAAAACAAAAATGAACAAAGAAGAAGGCTGTCCATTCATTTTTGCAATTTAAAAAGTACCCTCAGACTCAAAGGCATGGGATGGAATAGGTATTCTATATTTACTTTGTCTTTTAAAGTCAGTAGGAAAGACTTTTGTTTCCAACCATGATGGTAACAGGCTAGCTCTCCCTAAATAACTGATTTTTGGACACATTATTTGAGGGAACTATTTTCAGAAATTAGCCAACAAGAGCACAAAAGTATAATTTCTGAGAGGGGAGATGCACAAAGTGAGGTCCTTATTTGTCCCAGCTTTCTGGCTGCCAGCTCTTTTGGCTGGGAGGCACCTATAGTTGGAGATATGAAAGACAGAGTCCAAAGGCAACATGGTATCACTGAGACAGGGAGGCAAACACTGATGTTCAGGGCTGTGGGTGTGGCTGGAGTTGGTAGATATGGGCTACTTGCAAGAAGAGAGTTGTGCAAAGAAGGAATACCAAAAAGCTCTGGAGGAGTCTCCTTAAGTTACTGGTATAAACACACAGGCTGACATTATAACACCTAACAAAATACAACTTTTGGGAAGGTATAATCTTTTTTTTTTCTTTTTTTTTTTGAGTCTGGGACTCACTATATCACCCAGGCTAGAGTGTAGTGGCATGATCACACTCACCACAGTCTTACCTCCTGGGCTCAGGTGATCCTTCTGCCTCAGCCTTCTGAGTAGCTGGAACAACAGGCAGGTACCACCACACTTGGCTAAATTTTAATTTTTTTAGTAGAGCTAAGGTCTCACTCTGTTGCTCAGGTTGGTCTTGAAGCAGTTCTCCTGCCTCAGTCTCCCAAAGTATGAGGATTATAGGCATGAGCCACTGAAACCCAGCCAGAAGCTATAATCTTAACAGAGATCATAGTAGTCACTCATCAATGGGGGACAAAGAGGTTCTGACAAGCAAAATTAGAGAGATTTTCTGAGCACTCTAGAAATATCTAAAAAATTCCATGCCTTAGGAATAAGGCTACCTTCCCTGATCTCTAAGAAGTTTAAAATAAGTCTAACAGAAAAGATAAAGTCATTTCCTGGTAATTGAACCTCCTACCAGAACAAAACTCAACAACCTCTAAAGAAATGCTAAAAAGTCCAGAAGACATGCAACAACACAATATCTATATATCTAGCATATATTCAAATACTACTAACCATTTAAAAGGAAATGTGATCCATAATCAGGGAGAAAAAGAATCAATAGATACTGACCCTAAGATGACCTACAGGTTGAAATTAAGAAACAAGAACTGTAAAATAACTATTATAATTATGTTTAAGAGATAAAAAAGAAAATATTGTCATAACGAACATGCAGATGGAAAATAACATGCAGATGGAAAATATCAGCAATAAAAAACTGAAAACTTAAAACACAAAATATAAATTTAGAAATAAAAAATTTGCTGGATTAAAAAAAATCAGCAGATTAGAGACAGCAGAAAAAAAGATCTGTGAACTTAAAAAAAGACAAGTAGAAACTACTCATTCGGAAGAACAGAAAGAAAAGAGGTTAATACATGAACAAAACTTCTTTGAACTATGACACAATATCAAGCTGCTTAAAATATGCAGGATTAGTATCTCAGAAAGACAAGAGAGAGAGAATGGAGAAAAAATATTTGAAGAAAGTATGACCAAATTTTCTCCAAATTTGGGGTAAACAAACATAGATCTAAAAAGTTTAACAAACATCTAGAAGGAAAACCACCCCAAGGTGTATTCTAATTAAGCTGCTACAAAGGAGAAAAATTTTAAAGAAAGCAGAGGAAAAAATGACACAATATTTACAGGGAAAAACAATTGATGGCTACTTCTTTTTTCAGAAACAATAGCTGCAAGAAGACAATGGAGTGACTTTGTTTTTTTATTTTTTTTTTGAGTGAGGTCTCACTCTGTCATCCAGGCTGGAGTGCAGTGGCATGATCATGGCTCACTGCAACCTCAACCTCCTGGGACTGCAGGCACATGCTACCACGCCCAGCTAATTTTTTGTAGAGATGAGTTTTCACTATGTTGCCCAGGCAGATCTCACCCTCCTGGGCTCAAACAGTCCTCCTACCTCAGCCTCCCAAAGTGCTGGAATTACAGGCGTGAACTACCACACCTGTCCAAGAGTGACATTTTAAGAAAAATAAAATCCACTGACCCAAAATTTAATATCTAGTAAAAGTACCTGCTACATGGAAGACAAAATAAAGCCATTTTCCAATTAAAAAAAAAAAAAAGATTCTCTTCACCAGCAGCAACAATATAAATGGATGAAACATTCTAACAAAAAAATCAGAGATCTACTAGATAAAATATCAAGAACCAACTATATGCTACCTACCAGAGATGTACTTTAAAAATAAAGACAATAGGTTGAAAATAAAGGAAAGCAAAAGACATGCCATGAAGACAGTAAGCAAAAGAAAGATAGGCTTTACTAATATCAGACTAAATAACTCCTCAAGACAAAGAGCACTACCAGAGGTGGTGAGGGATATTTCAGTGAAATTAAAAGGTCATTTAATCAGGAAAAACATAACAATAATAGATGTATAACTATATAATAATAGAGCTTCAAAACATATAAAGCAAACAACTCAGAACCAAAAACAGAATCACACATATCTACAAAAAAAGAAAATATTTTTAATTCTTCTTTCTCAGAATTGTTAACAAATTAGATAAAAAATTTAATAAGGAATGAAAGATATGAAAACCTCTATCAATCACTTTGGCCATATTTCAGACTGTTATACTCAATAGCTGAATAATGCACATAAAATAAGTCTCAATACATTTCAAAAGATTATAGAGTATGTTTTCCTACAATAACAAACTTAATTTACAAGCCAATAACAAAAAGATATCTAGAAACACCCCAAATTTTTAGACATCAAACAACCTACTTTTATATTGCCCATGAATCAAAGAGGAAATCACAAGAAGAATTTTTTAAAATTTAGAAAAATATGATAATGAAACTACAACATATAAAAGTATGTGGGATACAGCTAACATAGTGCTTACAAGAAAATTTTTACCTTTAAGTGTTTATAATTAGTGAAGAAAATCACTTAAAACCAATGACCTAATTTTTCCAACTTAAAGCTAAAACAAGTTCAGTAAATTAAACCCAAAGCAAATAGAATGAAGGAAATAATAAAGATTAGAAATCAATGAACTATAAGCAGAGAATTTAAGCCAAAAATCTTGGTTTCTTAAAAAAAAAACAAAAAACTTAATTGACCAACACACATACTAGGCCCTAGTCCCTTTTTTAAACTTTAGATCTGCTATATATGTAATTCAGATTTTCAAACTTTAGAAGATTCTGTCCTACAAATTTTGTATAACATATGCTATCCCCCTTGAGTCCTGGCTAGCATCCTATAATAAACACAATAATATCTCTGCAGTGAAATGTATAAACATTCATTTTTAGAAGGATAAATAGCCTCATCTCATTTCAGGTCAGGTTTTGGCATCAAAAATTCTAAAGTAAGTTGTATATTAGAAGGGTTTTTTAAAAAAATTCTGAATTATAGACTGTCTTGGATTCTTAATACATTAGTTACTCCTTTTTATAGATAGGTCTTTTAGGTTCCTGAACAAATGACAATACCCCATTTATAAGTCTTAAGGGATGATTTTCTTTTTTTTTTTTTGGGTCTTGAAAAAGAAAAATTTATTGTCTCACAGCTCTGTAGGTTAGAAATCTGAGTTTGCATAGTTGAGTTTTCTGAGTTCTCCGTTCCAGGTTTTACAAATACAAAGCATGAAGTCAGGTGGTAGAAATAAGTACACACATATATTTGCAGGTATATATGTGTGTGCATATAAAAATAAAACAGTTGTATGTGAACTAAAATGGTTAAAACGCAAAGATTACCAGTCTTGGTTACAATTGTTTTTACATAGGGAGATACATGCTGTTTACAAAAAACACATCTGAAGTAAAGCAACACAGACTGGTTTGAAGTAAAGGCAATACTAACCCCCCAAAAGTAGACATTTTAATGCCAGACATGTTAGACTTGAAGGCAGAAAGCAGTACATGAGAAAGAGATGCAATCCACTCAAAATTACATGTAGTTATAAAATATATAAAAACTAAAAACATAAAATATTCTGAAATTTATATGAACTTATATATGGCAAAAGGAAAAAGTTAAGGCATTGAGGAAACAATGTGGCAATGCCTGGGATGGTGAGATGAGGGTGGCTTCACTATGTGACATTGAGACTTAGACAGACAGTAATTAAGAGGTGGGGCACAGGGCATTGCTTCAGTGATAGAGGGATGACTTTTAAAGCTAAGATCACAAGATGATTTTATTTTCTTCCGACACTTTCCATGAAGCTAGCAAGTATTTAGTAAATCCAATAATAACCTTTGTAACAACCTTTGCCTGGATTTGAAAAGAGAACATAGTCTTCCAGGGAACCAGGTTCTTGGCCAAGGAGGATATACATTTTATGAAAATAAGCATATTCTTCCTCAAATATATAATTTTATAGTTAAATAAACAAAATCGTCAAATTTACAAACACACAGTAGTAAATATTGATATACACAAAACTGAAATTATCTGTAGAATTCTACACAACCAGGATCTGTATATTAAATTTTAAAATTTCATTTCTGTCAGGCTCATTTCACACAAAATGTATTGTATGTCTACAATGAAAAAGGTGAAAATCATGTTTCTAAAATTAATTTCATGCCTTATCTAAAATAATCTTAGCAGAAAACTTAGCCCAATTATTTAAGCATCATCTCAAGCTCTAGGGAAACCCAACTCTACAAACTTAAGTCTCAGGAAGACCATAAGAGGAATAACAGTAACAGAACAGTATTCATAGCAATAATAGTCAAAATTTCCTTGAAGCCCATGCAATACTCCTATAGATGCTACTTGGAGCCATGCATGCATTAAATCAGACATGTGTACTTACTATTACTGCTACTGCTGTCATTCCTAAGGGAGCTGGCTGCAACAGGGGGTAACATAAATGGTTTTGTGACACTGACTCTGGAATCTAAATAGAAAGCAATAATGTGTCAGTGTTGCATGGTGACTTATATGAATTACAGAGTTCCCAAAAGGTAAGGTGTAATACCAGAGTACTTGTCAGGTCTGCTTCCCAAATCTAGATAATTTAGATCCTATTTATTTCATATTGAGTCTTGCTGTTCTATTTTACTAAAAAGCTCACCAGAATCACCTTGTATAACAAAGATTTATTGCATACACATGCTAATAAAAATGAACAGTGACAAATTGTTGGTAATTTCTCATTTTTTTAAAGCAATAAAATTATAAAAACAATGAAATTATTTTTGTTTATAGTAATCCAGTGAGGGGAAAAAAGATTCTCCATACAAAGTGACTGGGGAGGATCAGAATTCAAAGCTTAGAATTAGATCCTTAAGAAAGAGATTTGAGAAGGGAACATCAAGAAGACTGGAGGAGAAGAATAATGTAATTGTACATTACTAGCAAATATTAGAAAATAAAAAAGAACACTTTTACACTGTTGGTGGGAGTGTAATCTAGTACAACCTCTGTTGGAAAACAGTGTGGTGATTCCTAAAAGATATAAAAATCGACCTTCATATGACCCAGCAACCCCCCTTCTGGGAATATACCTGGAGCAACTCAAATAATACAACAAAAAAGATACTAGCGCATGCATATTTATTGCAGTACTATGCACAGTAGCAAAAACATGGAACCAACTGTGCTGCCCATTGAAAGTAGACTGGGTTAAAAAAAAAATGTGGTACACATACACAATGGAAAATTATGCAGCCATAAAGAAGGATAAAATCATAAACTTTGCAGTAACTTGAATGGATTTAGAGTCTGTAATACTCAGTGATCTATCAAAGAAGCAAAGAACTGAGTATTACATGCTCTCACTCATAAGTAGACCCTGAACAATTCACATAATATTACAAGAAAGGGATTGGCAGTAGTGGAAAACCACCAGGAGGAGGGGGAGGGACACAATCAATAAGAGTACCTGATATCAAACCAGGTGAAGTGGGTACCAAAGTGAGGCCCAAACTTTACCTGTACAATGACCATTTGTATATCAAACCCTGAATTGTACCCCACATCTTTAAAATAAAAATTTAAAAAAATATATATGAATGACCATTTCACATACCGTTTACTCACACAGTTCTTTAATCTGAAAATGAGTATTGTTTTGGCCAGCTTGGAAATCAACAAATCTACAATTACTAGTTTATTTTGTGTCACTGATAATCGCTTTTTTATGTTTTATAGCTATACATATATTTCGTTCAGAGGCACATTCTTCCTGCACGGTAAGATCCAAGCTTGCTATTTACATGTGAACTGGGAATGCTTAAGTCTTACCTTTCTCAGGACTTAATGTTGAAGAAACCACACAATCACTAGTTTCAGATGCCACCATAAAGTCCTTGAAGGCATCAATGGATCTGTTAAAAATTCTAAAGAATTCTTCAGGAGTAAAGTGCCTGGGTTCTGGGCTCTTAGACGATTTTTTTACATTCTAGAAGGAAAAAAACAACATGATGGTATTTTTCAAAGGGTACACAGACTTAACTGAGGTCAAGATAATGAACTATAAACATGTCCTTTTAAGATTCCAGTATATGAACTCTTAAAACTAACATTCTAAGACAGCCATTTTAATGTATGTAGTTCAAACTGGTAATGCAGGCTAGTAATCTCGAGTTGAGTCTGAGGCTTACCTCGTGACAAAAGCAAAGGGGTGAAGCAAGTCTCAGTGAACAAAATGTCATAGCAATGAGATAATCCTGACAACCAATTGGGGTCATTTTTATTTAGAGAGTCTCATTAAAACAGAAGTATTAATTTTTAAAAGGCCTCTCCATTATGAGGACTTCCAGTCTTTAGAAAAGAAAAAAAATCCCTCCATAACAAATGCAATGTCCCCAAATTTTAAAAGTCTGGTGATTGTAAATACTGGGAAGGACACAGAGTAAAAGGGATGCTAATGTATTGCTAGTAGATATAATGTAAGCTGATACAACTGATACTATCTGGTAAAGTCGGACATGTGCCCACATCCTGTATTTGGAAATTCCACTCCCAGATAAACACTCTCATGAAACCCTTGTCATGTATGCACCATATGACACATAAGAAAGTTCTTAGCAGCAATGTCTGTGACCCTTATGTCAATTAACAGAGTGGTTTAATAAATAGTGATATATTGAATTGATGGAGTACTCTATAAGTAGTAAAGAATGAAATACAGTTATGTGTCTCAAAGTGAATATATCTTGTAAACGAAACACTTAGTGAAAGAAGTAACAAAAGAATAAAAATAGTATGATTAGTTTATATAAAATTTTAAAAGGCAAATAAAAGTTATATTGTAGGGACACATAAATGAATGATTATGAAAAAACGCAGGTAATAATAATAAACATCTACCCATCACTGACTATGCACAATCCTTATTTTTTCTTATTTTTTTTGAGTTGGGGTCTCGCTCTGTCACCCAGCTTGGAGTTCAGTGGCACAATCATGGCTCATCAAAGCCTTAATTTCCTGGGCTCAGAAGATCCTTCTGCCTCAGTCTCCAAAGTAGTTGGGACTACAGGCACATATCACCATGCCAGGCTAATTATTTGTTTTGTAGACGACATCTCACTATGTTGCCCAGGCTGATCTCAAACTCCTGTGTTTGAGTGATCCTCCCGCCTCACCCTCCCAAGGTGCTGGGATTATAGGCATGAGGCACTGCACCTGACCAACTTAATATGTACTATTGTAAGTGTTTTATATTTATTAACTCAATCTCCAAAACAACTGAGAAATATCGTCTTCCATCTCCTGAATTCCCGCCAAAGTGCCATGATTAGTAAATGCACATTCTTCATTATTTGCAATGTTCTTCCCAGCATCACCATTTACTAAACACCTAACTCATCTTTAAAACCTCAGTGCATAGTACTATTTCCTTAGTGGCACCTTGTGTGCTATATCCTACTTTTTGTGACTGCTACTTCCTATGAATGCCATCAGCACACTAACTGTAGTAGTAATATGAAAGAGATATCGACACCAAGATTCGATTAATTGTACATGCATTCTGACTTTAGCAATTAGAAGCAAAACAATAGAGTGATAAAATGTATAGATAAAGTTACTAGTATGGGAAGAATTCCTATTGATAGTAGTGGGAATCTGCCTGGGGAAGGAGGGGCACATCTCATCAACAAGGGTACCTGCATAATGAACATTTGTATACCTAACCCTTGATTTTACTGCACATCTTTATTATTATTATTATTATTTTAAGTTGGAGTCTCACTCTGTCGCCCACACTGGAGTGCAGTGGCCGCTCCCGGCCACCGCAGCCTCGACCTGCTGGGCTCCGGCGATCCTTCCACCTCAGCCTTCCGAGTAGACAGAATTACAGGCATGCGCTATCACGCGCGGCTGATTTTTTGATTTATTGTAGAGATGAGGTCTCGCTGCCCAGGCGGGTCTCGAACCCGTGGGCTAAGGCAATCCACTCACCTCAGCCTCCCAAAGGCGCGGGATTACAGGCTGAGCTACTGAGCCCGGCTTACTGCACATCTTTAAAAAAAAAAAAAAAAAATTCCAAGATTGGAGAGGACAAATGGGATGATGCTGGGTTTTAAAGAGGAGCTGAAATTTGAAAGGGACAGAGGAGAGAGTATTTAGGTATTAAGGTACGAAATCATGTTTAAAAACTTTGGATTTCAGTTTATAGAAGCTGGTCAGGTGTGGTGGATCGTGCCTGAAATCCCAGAACTTCGGGTGGCCAAGGTGAGATGACTGTTTGAGGCCAGGAATTCAAGATCAGCCTGGGCAACATAGCAAGACCTGGTCTACAAAAAAACAAGAAATAAAGTAAACTTATAGAAGTCTGGTAGACTAAAATTTGGCCATTTTGAGCTCTACATCAAAGCAGGTCTCCCTGCTTTTATAGACACAGCACTGTAAACAATAATGTCCAAATTTGTTAACATTTATTTTGGCAGGCATAGTATTAAAGCATTCATCACAAATTGTCTAATGTCATCCTTATGAGACAGATTCTACCATTGTCCCAATTTTAGGCATAAGGAAAGCGAGGCACAAAGAAGTTTAGTTCACAAAACTAGTTAGTGACAGAGCCAGAATTTGAGCTACAATGTCTCACTGTTAATTTCTGGAGTGCACTGACTATTAATCCACATGCTTAGAAGCCAAAGTATTGTCATGCCCAAATCCTGAAGCTGGTGATGACCAATTATCCAATGACTCTGAAGAGCCAAAATGCACACCTTTTTTGTGACCTATGGAGTGATTACATTATAAATGAAAGGGCAAGAATAGGTGTTCATTATAGATAATTTTTCATTTCAATGAACACTTGTAATTTAACAGGAAGATTTTGAGGACTTCAATTATGAAATAAAATTAAAGATAAAGGCAGAGCTGCTTTTACACTGTAGTATAAAGACACTTTAAGCCGGACTCAGTGGCTCAGCCTGTAATCCCGCACTTTTGGGAGGCTGAGGTGAGTGGATTGCCTGAGCCCGCGGGTTCGAGACCCACCTGGGCAAGCGAGACCTCATCTCTACAATAAATCAAAAATTAGCCGGGCGTGGTAGCGCGCGCCTGTAATTCCGGCTACTCGGAAGGCTGAGGCGGAAGGATCGCCGGAGCCCAGCAAGTCTGGGCGACAGAGTGAGACTCCAACTAAAAAAAACCCCAAAAAAACCAAAACAAACAAACAAAAAGACACTTTATTTTTATATTTAAGTTCAAATGTATATTTGTATTACAGTATAACCATAACTATTTGTGTTCTGTACTCATCTTTAAAATATTTTTAAATTCAAAATCTATAAAATCAAAATCTCACAAAATGCCCTCCCAACATCACCAAATAGCATAGGTTTTAGAGGCCAGACATGAAAAACAATTCCAATGAACACAAAGTTACCTTCGATGAATTTTCTTTCACGCACTCCACAAGGTCATCCACTATATTCACAAGTTTGTCTATGATAGAATAATTACTCAAGCCTTCAGAAATATTTGAAAACTTGTCCAGGAGATCAGTCAAACTGTCTGACAATTGTACTACCATCTCGCTTATCCAACAATGACTAGGCTGTAAGATATAAAAGAAAGGAGACAAAGCATCTAGTTTAATAAGTGCCATAAACTCAGAGTACTCTTCAAAGCCATCAATGTCTCAGTCACTGGCTGCTGGACAAAGATTTCCTTTAGAACAAAACAGGTCAGTTCTTGTGCCTTGTTTAACTCAGCTCTAATAACCTGTTTTGAAATTTACAAATGCATAAAGATCAGAGGAAAGCATTGATGGTAAAATTTTGCTTTTCCATGGAAGAAAAGTAAGCCAAGACAGAGCCAACTCTTATCCTTAGCAAAGTTCAGATATTAATAGGACTTAATTCTATGGAAGAATATTTTTTCTGTTCACTGTGTTCCCAAGATTCTTAGATGCAGACGGAATCATAAAATTACTGTGGGAGAGAGTCATAACCCTCAAGACTCTTCCAGTCTTTTGGTAGACTAAAATGTAAAACAATTGATTAATGGTAGCTTATGACTGTAAAGTGTTTGATAGATATCAAGGCTTCTAAACAGACACATTAATGTGGGTGTTTTAAAAAACATTGTTGGTAGGAACGTGGTCTGAGACAGAGGAAGCACTTTTGCCCCTGGCAGGACCAGAAGCATTATGTGTAGAATCCAATGCAAAATGAAAATGTATCATTGCTCAAAAACTATTGTTCAAAAACTTAAGAATTTCAAGATTGTGACAGCAAAGCATTAAATCAAGCGTGGAACCCAGCTCCTGAAGTCAGTCCTGTCTATTAGTTAGAAGATCAAACCTTGGAGTCAAGCAAAACTGGGTTCAATCCTGGCTGAAAAACTCTGGGCAATCTACATAAATTTGCTGAATCCCACTTTGCCTGTATATAGAATAGAATTAATGGAACTTTCCATGAGGGGTAGTTGTGAGGAGATAATATAGATAATTTGAACATAAATTGCATGAGGGAAGCATTACAAGTTTTTTCAAGTATTGTTTCCTGTTGTGTCCTCAATGCCTGGAACCATGCCTGGCATATGGGAGTTGCTCAGAAACTCTGCTGAATGGATGCAAAAGTGAACTCACTACTACAGAACCAGCAAGTCATGAGTTTTTTGAGTTAAAGTGAGAAAGATGGTTGAAGAAAATTATCGCACAGTTTCTCAGTGAATAAAGTTGTAACTCTCATATATTTTTAAATAGTCAAGTTTACATGCTGGTATTTAGAAAACGGCTAAAATATTAAAAACCATGTTGCATTAATCTGTTTTAAGTCATACCATGTTCAGAGTTCTATGTAAGGTGGGGTTTTACTTTTCTTTTTAGGGATAGTTTGTAATAGTAAGAACTGTCCCTATGTTAGTGAATTACATATGTACAAATTGAAACTGTAAATTGTGAACACTGGAAAGCACCTTTGTGTCATAGAATAAACATCTTAGTAATATATTAAAATGAATGTAAATGGAGGTTAAAATTACATCACTGTGAAACTCATCTTCCAACTCTAAGTTAAGCTTTGGAGATATGTATTAGAAGGTAACTGTTAAGAGCCTTGAAAACACTGCACATTTCTGTACAAGGCAGAATTATTATTTCTTTGTGATTTATTATTCAGCTTGGCAATTACTTTTGATTTGGTGGCTTTTATAACATGGTAGAATATATTTACTCAGTTTGAAACTACTCATTTCTACACACTATTTTAAAAATCATCTACTAGATGAAACATACAATAAAACTACCTGTGCTGCAATTTGGGGAAAGTTTAGGTCCTTTTTTTAAAGTATTAATAATCATCGATTACATCAATAATAAAAGTGCTTTATTTTGGTTTGCTTCGATAATGCAGTTGGTGGAAATGATAAACATTTAAAGTGTTAACATGTTGTGAATGCATTGGATTTAAGATAATAAACATTTTATGAAAATCAAATAAATAAATAAATACATAAATGAGAAAAATTCTTCATACCAGGGGTCTGCGTACTCTTCTGCAAAAAGCCAAATTGTAAATAGTTTAGGCATTGAGTACCAAGAGGTAAAGTCAAAGATACTATTTAGGTACATTTATAAAAAGAACACATTTCCACAAAATTATTATTACAAAATTCCCAAAATGTAATAATAATAATAATTGAATATAGTTTCTGCTACATAATTGGAGATATGGCTGGTTATGTATGTGATTCACACACCTGCAATTCCAGCAATTTGAGAGGTTGAGGCAGGAGGATAACTTGAGCCCAGGTTTTCGAGCCTGCAGTGAGCTATGATCATGCCACTCCCCTTAGCTTGGGTGACAGAGCTAGATAGGACTCTTTAAAAAAAGTAGAAAACTAACACATAATTGGATGTACTACATTCTTTTGCAATACAGATCTACTAATAAGAATGGAATTCTTTATTTTGGGTTAACATCTTGTTTATTTGGGATTCAAAGTCAGTATTCTCTATCATCAAATAGACTGCAAATGTCCATCTATAAAAACCAATCTTAGCTGGCTGGCCTTACAAACAAATGCAGAGACAAGGATTTGTTCCACAGGGCATCTGCCAATCCCTGCTCTACGTGACTGTGGGTCGAGCCAGGCTTAGATAACTAGGAAAAAACTTATCAGTATATTAGAATAGATTTTAATATTTTAAAAATTAATATTATATTACTTAAATATAATTGGTTATAAATTTACAAACTTCATATAATTTTAACATATTTTCTTTTATAAAGATCTTTTAAATGGAGACTCTGATTTACTTATTTTTGTTGTTTTTTTTGTTTTGTTTTGTTTTTTTTGTTGTTGTTTTTTGAGTCAGAATTTCACTGTCACCCAGGCTGGAGTGCAGTGGCACACTCAGGGCCACTGCAACCTTGACCTGCTGGGCTCAGATGATCCTTCCACCTTAGTCTTCCAAGTTGCCGGAACTACAGGCACGTGTCACCACGCCTGGCTACTTTTTTGATTTATTGTAGAGATGAGGTCTCGCCAAGTTGCCCCAGCTGGTTTCAGACCATGGGCTCAGGCAATCCGCTCACCTTGGCCTCCCAAAGTGCTGGGATTACAGGCTTGAGCCACTGCTCCTGGCCTTGATTTATTTTTAATTGCTAAAATGCTGCAGTAAGAATAATAAAATATCATTAGGAATAGCTAAAATTGACTTGGCTTATTAAAATCATAAATAATTTAATATAGCATCTATTGTAATTAAAATATTGTACTCAGAGTAACTGATGTTATGTAAAATAAATCAAATCACCAAGTTTTTTTTTTTTCTCAGCTTACCAGCACAATATCTCTGTGGGGAAAGACGAGTCATTTATTTATTCTAAATTATACAAGGGGGCCATTTTACATTCATTTAACAGAACCTTTTTAACTAATATAATCCAGCCTAAAAGGAAACTGGTTTATCTGCAGATAGGAAAGCCCCAATTCCTGGAAACATGACATGTCATTCAAAACTTTTAGGATTGTTGGCTCTGGCTTCAGATAAGTAAAATAAACAAATACTCAAACGAAAATTAGTTCAAGTGGCCATTTCAACTCACCATAACCAAGTTTTCAAAGACTGTGTTTTCACAGCATGTTCAGATGGATTCTTTGTTTCATTAAATCAATGCTTATCTCAAGCACACGCAAGTTCATACTTGCATCATTAATAGGTCTTTTTCAAGGTTGTCAGCCTCCCCTTGGTTGCTAAATTGCTCTGCAAGTTTCTCTCTATTTAGGCAGCGATAACTTACACACAGTCAGCGCTATCAGTAATAAACAGATTTCCTAGGATACAGAACATAGCAAGTACTCTAAAAACTGTTTGAATGGTATTTTTGTAATATAACAGCCTTTATCAATTCATTCACATGTTACTGTGCAAATTGTTTTGTAACAATGGAAATTCTGGGTATTTCTCTCTGTCTCTGTCTCTCTGTCTCTTTGTGTCTCTCTCTCTCTCTGTCTCTCTCTCTGTGAGTTGAGGTCTCACTTTGTCACCCAGGTTATAGTGCAGTGGCATGATCACAGCTCACGGCAGTCTCCACTTTCTGGGCTCAGGCCATCCTTCTGCCTCAGTCTCCCAAGTAGCTGAGTGAGCCACCACGCTCGGCTAATTTTTTATTTTTTGTAGAGACAAGGTTTTGCTATGCTGCCAAGTTCTCAAATTCTTAAACTCAAGCAGTCCTCCCGCCTCAGTCTCCCAAGGTGCTGGCCTATAACTGCTTCTCCCCCCATTTTCACATACCTAAACCAATAGTCTGAACAAAATCAACACTTTTCAGTAAAATTTTCAACCCAATCCTGTACTTTCTTATAGTTAAATCATGGAAACCCCACAATCCAATCCTTCTCTAAAGTTTGCCTTTTTGAAATCATAGACAGAACTGGGCTCGGAGGTCATGTCTATAATTCCAGCACTTTGGGAAGCCAAGGTGGGGGGATCACTTTAGCCCAGCAGATCAAGATCAGTCTAGAAAACATGAGAGACTGAATCCCTGCAAAAATAAAAGCAAAAAAATTAGCTGAACATGGTGGCACACATCTGTAGTCCCAGCGGAAGGATTGCCTGAGCCCAGGAGGTCGAGGCTACATTTACCTGTGATTATGCCACTGCACTCCAGACTGGGTGATACCCCAACTCAAAAACAAACAAAAAGCCATAGACAGTTTGATAGTTGATATGAACTAACTACTATACAATTGAAAAGTGCATATTTCTAAAAGCCTTGATTTCAAATTTCATTCATTACTCTTGTTTGCCCATAATTCCTTTGGCAAAGTTTGTACAATTAACTCAAAGTTCCATATTTTAGTAATTTGTTTAACCAGTTATATATTGACTTTTTGAGATTTCTAGATTTATTAAAGATAAAATCAAAGTAAACAAATAATATTAAATGTCAGCCAGTTTTGACCTGCCTGCCTGTAACAGAGGAAACTAGTTCTAACTAGAACATCAAGCAGTTTTGTACTTTTAAATTAAATATAGTCAATGATTTGCAGAGACAATAAAGCCCATTGAACTAAGTATTTCATTTTTGAGATGATAGCAGGTAT